TAAAACGATTAATTTTAGCAAAAAAATGGTCTTGTACGAACCAAAAGTTAATTTTGGATAGGAATCGCGTCGTGGTAGCAGATTTAACAAAACTCATCTAGCTGGGAAATGACACTAACTTTGTCATTTTATATAAGAAGCCCATATTTTTTATTTTACAATTCGATTTTAGAACTCATTTTATGCAATTTTTATTGAGAGGAAAATTTTGATAGGATCGACCATTTCTGAGTTATGCCCGACGAAAGACGCGTGAAGAGGGCACACGTTTTTAACAAGATGGCCCTCCCCGTTTTATATTTAAAATGCCGGAGTTTTGTACTGGGCCGTTTTGCGCAGGGAGCGTATTTGAGTATTTATTATAAACATAAATTTTAATCAATGTCAAATCTGCACAAATCCATAATAAAAGCTGAGAGTCATTTCAAAAATAAAATTGACTGGATGATGATAACAAAATTCCTTTTTTGTAAAAAAAAGTTTTTTTTTCTTTTCAAAAATTAATACAAGCTAAGCGTAAAATCAACCCCATGACCCTTACACTATTCTGAGAAGATTCCTATCCTAAATTAACATACTGATCATAATCGTTTTCGAAATTAACGGGGTGGGCGATCTTCTTACAAAAAGCATACGCATACTTCACACTCACGCGTCTTCCGTCCGGCATCACTCATCAACGGCCGATTTTATCAAAATTTTCTTTCATAAAATAAGCTCTAAAATCGAATTTTACAATAAAAATATCTGCTTCTTACGCAAAACAAAAAATATAAAACGTGGAGGGCCATCTTGCTCTTACAAAATGTCCATCCTCTTCACGCGTCTTCTGTCGCGCATCACTCGGAAATGGTCGATCCTATCAAAATTTTCCTTTCAATAAAATTTTCGTAAAATAAGCTCTAAAATCGAATTGTAAAATAAAGAATATGGGCTTCTTATATAAAATAACCAAGTTAGTGTCATTTACCAGCTAGACGAGAGAGTTAGGTTAAATCTGCTACCACGACGCGATTCCTATCCACAATTAACTTCTGGTTCATACAAAACCATTTTTTTGTAAAAATTAATCGTTTTAAAAAATAAAGGACGTGGGCCATTTTGTTGTTACAAAAAGCACACGCATATATCCTTCACACTCACCCGTCTTCCGTCCGGCATAACTCAGAAATGGTCGATCCTACCAAAATTTTCCTTTCAATAAAATTTGCATAAAATAAGCTCCAAAATCGAATTGTAAAATAAAAATATGGCTTCCTTATAAAATAACAGCTAGTGTCATGTACCAGCTAGATGAGAGAGTTATGTTAAATCTGCTACCACGATGCGATTCCTATCCAAAATTAACTTCTGGTTCGTACAAGACCATTTTTTTGCTAAAATTAATCGTTTTAAAAAATAAAGGACGTGGGCCATCTTGTTGTTACAAAAAGCATATGCATACATCCTTCACACTCACGCGTCTTCCGTCCGGCATAACTCAGAAATGGTCGATCCTATCAAAATTTTCCTTTCAATAAAATTTGCAAAAAATAAGCTCTAAAATCGAATTGTAAAATAAAAATATGGGCTTCTTATATAAAATAACAAAGTTAGTGTCATTTTCGAGCTACATGAGAGAGTTATGTTAAATCTGCTATCACCACGCGATTACTATTCAAAATTAACTTGGGGTTTTTATAAGACCATTTTTTGCTAATGTTAATCGTTTACTAATTAAATGGGTGGACTGTAAAGTTGAAACACCCTGTATACAATAGAACGATCCTCTTACTTCCAAAAAATCGGAGCAGGATATACTCGCTGCCGTGCTCAAGTCGATTCTCATTTCAGGAGGCATTCTTACACGTTCTCTATACGGAGCCAAATAGTATTTTGTATCGAATATTTGGAATAAAAATTTATTTAATATTCTTGATAATATATTCAAGCACAAGTCTTGTTCCGGAAAATTTAGTTCTGATGATCGAATATGTTCAGATTCGGTTGAAGTAGCGTTGGATGTTTCAAGTGCCATACACTTTTTAGTTTTGAATATTTCTTTTTAAAATTTTATATTTAGTGATTCAATTGGAGATAATCTCTGCCGTGATATATCCGTTAAGGACGTATCGATCAAGGGTGAACAGATGTATTTTCGCAGGGTGGCGATTATAGCGACCTGCCGTAATTACCGGGGAAGCGTGTACCCAATTATCCGGTATTAGGGGATAAGTCGAGGGCGCAAACAGCCGAGTCGTTTTCCTCGACCTTTTATTCCGATCCGTATCGAACGACGTGTATTTTTCCATCGGGACGCCGCCGCCGGCCGGGGGAGAACAAAATTAAAATTACCCCTGGAGCGTGCAGAATCCGCTTATAGCCGGGGTAATGACGTTACATGGCTGTTACTCTCCCACAACCAGGTTACAGCCTCCCACTGCAACCAATAAACCCGTAACAATTTCCCTTACTCACCTTATTTGTCCAATTCTTGCCCACCCTCTTCACAACTAATTCCTCTTTCCGCAACAATTCATCCCGATACACTAAAGCTATTTGAAATCCTTAAAACAGCAATACTAGACGGACCAGTGAGCTGAGTTTAATCATGAACAATTATTTAATTGCAGTTTTTTAGCTTAGTTCGATTTTTTTATAATTTATCCTCTATCAAACCAACTACCCAAAACGCAATCGCGATGGTTCATATTTCATCGCTTCACAGACCTCAACAGGACTATGCTTTTTCTATATATTTTGTTTTTGAATTTCGGGATTTATCAGAATTTTTTAAAATCCATATTCAAAGTTATAATTTGAAGGGCTAACTTGTTCTACATTTGGCCTAGCTTTTGTCGGTGTTCCTACTCACATTACGTTGTTTTGCATCGATCCGGATTTCGAGCACTTTAGCACATCATCAGGTTGTGAAGATCCTTCAACCTGATGATGAGCCAAAGGGCTCGAAATCCGGATTGCAAAACAACTTACTGTGAGTAGAAACAATCTTTTAAAAAAAGGATTGAACACCACACTCACTCCATCGTTCATCATTTCAGTTTGTTGGTGTTTTCCTCTCAGGTCGAGAAATTGTGGGCCAATGGCGTGAGAATAACCAAGAAAAAATGTTGACGTTTCCAGTCCGTTTTATCCCGATGTTTGCTTTTTTTAAATCTCTTACATCCAAAATTGAAGCTGGCGGGAGGTTGTAACTCTTCCGACAGATGACAAAACAATAAGGGAACAAGAAGTGTGTACAATAGATTGAACCGAATAGCGAAAGTGGAATATGGACTCACTACTACCTATAAAAGTGTCTTCCTCCCAATAACAAGTTATGGTGCAGCCGGATGGGCCAAACCACTACTTCCTCCAACGTTCAATATTACAATATTGTAATCCACGAATGCATAATCCGGCCCGGAGGACCAAGTAGTTGTTTTAAAAACAAATTAACCTCTAAGAAACCTTTTTCTAAACAGCAATTCATGAGCATTATTTTTTATCATTATTAATGACTTAAATTATTAATTGTTGACATGATACGATCAGAAAACTCAAAAGTGTATAATGAAAAATTTTAAATTTTCAAATCAGGTAATGAAACCAAAAGTGCATTAATTGATTTTTTATAAATTGACAAACCTGGTCTAGATAGGGGAAATGTTAGATGACAAGGAAGAAAAGATTATTGAAGAATAGGCCATATCGGTCTATCTAAACCCACTCGCCTTTGTACATTCTTCTGTTTTGAACCCGCTTGGTCACAATGTAATAAATGACAATAAGCTCTGCCCCCAAGGTTCAATATTACAATATGAAAGTTCAAGAAGGTGTAATCCGGCCCGGAGGACCAACGGTTGTTTCAAAAGCGAGTTAATAGCAAAGAAACCTGACTTTCATTCAGGCTGTAGTATTGTCTAATTTTTGCTTAAAAATGTCAAGTAGGTACTTTTTTTTTATTTTTTTTTTATTAGCCTTATGATCTTGCATATTAGCCATAGTACGAATTCTTGTGTGTTCCAATTGGGGGTTATCGGGAAAAAAGGGCCAGAGGCGACGGTGGGAATCGAACCCATGACCGCGGCGTGAAAGTCTCTCATGCTAACCACTCGGCTACCGACTAATATGCCGTATCGGTCTAATTAAACCCAGTCCTCGATATGCTTCTGTTCTGAAACAAACCCTACGCGGTCAAAATTCATAAATTACAATAATTACTTCTGCCGCCAACGTTCAGTATAACACTAAGAAAATACAAAATGGTATATTCCGTCCCGGAGAACCAAACGGTTGTTTCAAAATCAGGAAGCTTCCCTTTAAAAAATTTCAGCCTGTAATACTGTAGAATTTATTCTTTCAAAAAATTAAATTAAATTTAGTAGTTCAATATTCACACTAATCATGAGCATTGTTTTGCTGATCATCGTCACTGTTTTGAATAATTGATTGTCATAGTAATACAATTGAACAAACTTGAAGTGTATTATGCAAATATTTTAAGTTTTCTAACCAGGTGGTGAATGACAAAGGCAAGGAAGGAAAAGTGTGGACGAATTGGCGCTATACTTTGCCCCAGTCCAGTAAGACAATATGACAGTTCAAGGCGTGATCCGGCCCGGAGGACCACTTGATTGCTTCCGAAGCGTGTTAATAACAATGAAGCTTCTCCAACCAAAAGTGTATTATTTAAACATTTTAAATTTACAAACCAGGTTATGATATGATAGACGGCAAGGATGGACTGTTGACGAATAGGCCGTCTCGGTCTAACCAAAGCCACTGGTGTACGTTCTTCTTCCTTGAACCTTGTTCTCAGACTTACGCTGTCACAATGTCATATTTTAACACGTTGACCTTCGGTCAAACTCCAATAATCACTCTTCATTGGTTATGCGTTGATATCCACACACATCGGCCGTACAACATATAATTTCCAGGTCGATCCATACTCTGATCGGTGTTAACGACTTTCTTTGAAAAATGCATTCCTTGGCGAGTGAATAATTGAAATACAGCGCCAAAGCAGAAACGGAATCATTAAGACCTCAATCCTGAACGTGTTAACTTCGAGGTTTGTACCACTGAGGACAATAGGGGAAACTATGCCATCCAGTTGTCCGATAAATTACAGATCGAAAGGTTTTCTCATCGCTTTTTATTACTCTTTCGTTCTTATCGTTTTAACATTTCAAAAATAAAATTTCTTTTATTTTTTTATTGATAAAAAATGGTATTTTTTGAACCAATTGGTTTATTTTTATGCAGGATATTTTCTTTTAACCTAATTTACTCGCACTTACTTATTTTTATACGTGAAGATTTGAAATGATTTAAAAATGAACATTGTATCATTTTTGACTGGGTGGAGCAGTTAATTTTTTATTTCTTCCTATCCTAGCCATTTTGGCATGAGGAATCAAAAATGATGAGAAATTTGTGCTGTTTATTGCTGTAGAAATTTTTTTTACATTTTTACAGTTAGTATAGTCGTTTACGAACATCCTGGTCCGTCTAGCTTCGCTAGTTAATTGCTAATTTAAATGCCAACAGACCCTTTCATAGATACTGATCGCCATTATGTGATTCCATTGAAAAATTTTGTTGTCAAAAAAATCTCAATTGTAAATTATCCTTAGGTATTTCAAGAAATTCAAACGTTCTGACTATTTTCTGTCATGAAGTTCGGAAGATATTATATAGAGAGACCGTCAAACACGATTTACCATTTGTACGAACTTGGAGGGATGATGGTGAGCCCAGGTTCGAAACATCCATATCTGGTGAAGTTCAACATCGTATTCGTGGGGCTCGGGATGTTTTATTTCTTGACGACCCAATTATTAACTCTTTATACCAAAATAGGGTGAGTAATTAAATTTGTAACCTTGACAAATCATCCACTGCGAATTTCATTTCAAGGGACCAACTGGTGATCATGCAGTTTACGATCTCAACCTGTCAAATCATGTTCAAGCACTGCATGATTTTCGTCAGGAAAAAGCAAATCGTTGATTTTATTTCGGACTTGGATGTGATGTGGGAAAAGGTCGAGGCTGACGACGTGCATAAAAAATTGTTCAATGAGACCATAAAGGGTCGGGTGAGGTACGCGAACACTTTCATGCTGATGTGCTTCTGCGTCCAACCGTACAACGTTTTATTCTGGCTCTTAACCATAATGACCAAACCGCGAGAAGGTATAAAACAACCATCGTTAACATACCTTTTCTAAAATTCACCATATTCGCAGAGTGGGAGGACTGGATCGTCTGGTGGAACCTTGTCGACGCCGAACACTTCTGGCTCAGGTTCATCGTGCAGATATACTGCTTCGAGGCCGTGATGATAAGCGAAGGCGTCACCGGCTCCATGGTCACGTATTTGTGCGCGCATATATCAGGGTATACAAGGGTCCTGAGGCACATGCTCGAATCCAGGCTGCCAGATAATAAATCCCAGTATAAAGAAACGTACATTTTCCATCAGAAAATTATCAAGTGAGCATACTCAGCAAAATGCAATTATTTTCTCACTGTGCCATTTTGTTTTACAGATTAGTTCGGAAGCTGAATTCTATTTACAGCGTGTCCTATTTCGTAGAAATAGTTACTTCGTCTCTTACAGTCGCATTCCGGTCATTCTTCATGGTCAAACTAGTAGTAAGTATTCACAGAAAACTAACCTGAATTTTTCTTTTTTCTTGGGGGAGGTTATGATTAAGTAAACCAGACCTAGATAAATTTTTGGCTTATTTAATAAATAAACTGGGTTTGATGATGACAATGACACTAGGAAGGGTTTTCCAAGCGCTCCAGCACGCTTATTGTATTTTTCCTAGTTCCTTAGTTCAATTGGCTCGATCCTTCTTTTAAGAAGCAGATCATTTTTGCGATATTAAAAATAAAAGTTTTCTTCTAAAAGGCGACAAATGGCATCGGAGGGAGTTTCGCTGCTGAGCTGCTCTTGACAATTTTGGAATTCTTCGCCCCGTACACCATCAGCATGAGCTGTGAGCTTATCAAATCAGAGGTGTTCTTTTGTAAAGTTCTTCTCGACAGGAAGCGTGGATCGAGCTTATTTTTCGATTTTCCAGGGCGAGGAGATTATCAAGTCGGCCTACCACAACTCCTGGTACGAGGAGGACCCGAGTACCGAGAAAGACCTGCTCATTTTGTCCGCCTTCGCAACCAGACCACTATTGGTCCGCTATAAAACCGCTTTCGAATTTTCCATGGAAAAGTTTAGCACGGTAAGCTTTTCTTTCATTCTAGAAATAATTGTTTTAACATATAATTATTTTTCAGTTTGTTCAGGCAACCTATTCTTACATAGCGATGCTCAAAAATATGAACTTTTGATCCGAACAGAAAAATATAGTCGTTACACGTAAATTTCTTTTCTTGCACCAGCTTTGTTAATCACTTTACGAATTTATGGCTAATACTAGATCAATAAAGATGTTTATGTTTATCAAATTTAATCCTAAACGTATTTTGTTTATTGCAGTCATGTCTTTTCCAACTTTAGTTAGCCTATGAAAATTTTCTGTGTTTGTTTGGCATTTCACTATCTTAAGTGGTGTGTTTTTTTTATTAATGCCAGAAAAAATCAGCGAGACAAGACGGACCAAAATAATTTAGCTATCATAATTGCCAGGTTGGCCTAGCTGTTTTCCGCGCAATGAATTTACAGAATGACCGACCACTGAAGCAAATGGTTCCATCCATCTAAACAAGTCCATTGCAAATTGGACCTGCTATTTACGAACGATCACTGCACGGGATGGTTACATAGTTCTGAAAGTAGTTTGACAGACCAACACAACGAGACTAGGAGGACCGTCTAGACCTAACAAGAAATCTCACAGTTTAACTAAATGGCTAGGTTGACTTAGCTTCTTTCTGCGCCGATTGCCGGTTCTCTGACAAAGAAGTTTAGAAATGAACAACTCCTGAAGTAGATGAAGTTCCATCCATCTAAAACATCAAAGTAAAAACAACGAAATTAGGCGAACCAGGATGCCGAGCAGATCTTAACTAATCTCACACTTTAGCTATCGCAATTGCTCGGTTGACCTAGCTTTTTTCTGAGCCTGCCGGCTCTCTACTCGAATTGCATAGGATTTACATAATGAAGATCACTACACCAGGAAGGTTATACCGCTCTGAAAGACATTTGATAAACCATAACAGTCAAGATAAGCGGAACAGGATGATGATCGTGCAAACCACAAAAGAAATCTCAGTTTACCTGGACAGAGACTAGTCCTAGTGAAGACCTAGTGACAAGATTCCATCCATTTAAACAACATCCAGCCAAAATGAAATAGAGAGACTAGTTGGACCAGAATGATGACCTTGAACATGACCAACACCTCTGAAAATTTACCTTTTCTATTTTTAATTTAGAAACGACCACTGATTATGGTTGAACCTAACAGAAAATCCAGAACAGCGAGTTGGTCCGGGACGAAAGAACTTCAAGGCCAAGAAGACACTATAAGGTGACTTGGCTTGTTTAATTTCTAAGCTGATTTTGCTTTATCTGCGTCAATTTGCACATTGGCTCTCTAGTACAGAAGCATCTGAAAAAAGAACAGAGATTAAAGAAAAAAAAAAGCAAACTAAACCATCTTCATAATTGCTAGTCGGGCCTGCTAGTTAGAAAGATCATCACTGAACTGGTTACTTCTATCTAAAAATGGTTTGACCGACAAAACAGCGAGGATATGCGGACCAGGTCGAAGAACGTGCTAATTTACAAGATTGCTAGGTTTACCCGATCTTTTCTACACCTTATCGATTGGTATGACTCTAATGACAAAACATTTCTAGAATAAACGACCGCTGCAGATGATATTGGTTGGTTTCACATGGAATGCCCGATTTTATAGTTTCAAAAATTCAGAGAGGATATTGCGGTTATTGTGAAATTTCTTATTGAGGTTTTGAGAAATGAACCTTGCAGTTTTACCGTTTTCGATCATACTGGTCCGCCTAACCTCGCTGTTTTGGCCTGCCGAACGATTAGTGGAACCATCAGGCTCGTCGCTTATTTTCTGTTCTTTTTTTTTCTTTCTTATCTTTGGTATGTTGTGGAGATGTTGAGTGCCAATACTCGAGCAGGCTGAAGAAGCATTGTCTTGCTTTTTCTGCAGCACTTTGCGCACTGGCAGTGAAGAAATTTTTAGAGGCGGCTGCCTGAGGTTGACTAAAGTTCAAGTCGTCATCACTACTTCGACAATGCTTCTCCAGCTCTAAAACGACTAAAACGTTAGTCTGTCGAACCACTGCACATACTCCATCCTTTGACGTATGACCATCAACTGGGCACACCATTTGTCCGATCCTAGAAGTTAGAATCACAAGGGCATGAGTACTTTTCCGCCAAATTAACCTAGTGCTTAAACCAAAATGTTTTTTCTTGATAACCATGCTTATCCATGGCACTCAACATCTCCACATACAGAAAGATAAGAAAGAAAAAAAGAACAAGAGAAAATAAGCGACGTGCCTGAAGGTTCCATCTAACCGTTCGACAGACCAAAACAGCGAGGTTAGGCGGACCGTATCGAAAACGATAAAACTGCAAGGTTCACTCGCAAAACCTCAACAAGAAATTTCACAATAATTTGAATTTGGTTAAAGGCTTGACATGATAGTATTAGGGTGAACTTTTATTAAATTATTTGATAATTGGTTACTATTTCTTGTCGATACTACCGGGCACCATTTCTTCCTTGAACCTTCCATGAAGAATTTTATTCACCTTTGCCATTATGGAAAAGAATCATGAGATTATTAATTCCATGAAAACATCTTCAGTTCATTTGTAATTATGGGCCCGAGTCATAAACCGATACATGTAAAAGCGACTGCTGTTCATTTACTTACACCTTTGCCCGGATTAGACCGTGCTTGAGTCTCCCTCAATTAACTCAGAACACTTCAATAATTTACTGTGAAGTAAGTCTTCTCGAGAGGGATTGGCCCAGGCGCAGCCCGTTCCGAAATCCACTCGACGCCCTCGTTAAAAATAACTTCGAAAATAATAACTCCTAATTGCCCCGTTCAGCGTTCGAAATCTCTTCAATATCTTCAATTTACCAAAACAAAAATTCTACCGCTTTCTTCCTTCTTTCAGCAGTAAGCCTATCTTCAGTTTCATTCATCTAAAAGTTAATAGATCAAAGATTAAGATTAGAAAAGTAATCGGTCTCTTTATGACCTGCACACAACGACCAGTTTTGGTCTATTGTCTCCATGTCTAGAGCTCCTCATAACGCTTAAAGCTTTTTACCAGATCCCAAAACTTTTTCAAGGAGTCCCGTGAGTATCTTCAGGCCCAGCATTTCCTCCTCCTGGAGATCTGCACAGACCAGCAATTCTAGTTCCAACACGTCCTAGATTTAACAGTTTTGCTCATAGCTTCTGCGATGTATCTTTGATGGACTTTTCGCGTGCCTCTATCCTGAGTCCCATCCCCATTGGATTAACTACTTTTAACCCAATTTCGCATGGATTCGCAGTTTGGTATGCCACAAAAGAGTTCAGGGTGAATAAGTATCATCGAACTTTCCTTGGCCAATTTATTGATTTTATCAATAATGTGGTAATTAATGATAGAACAAAGAATCGGAAACGACCAGCTACAGGTTATCACATGGTTATGGAACCTCGAACATCATCTGCTGAAGGGCACCTCCTGACAATGAAAGGACTCAGCGCTCTGTTCTCTTCTGATCAAGACGTTTAAAAGGACAATCTTTTTAAAAGATAGAGATCAAAAGATTTATTTTAAAAAATCTGTTTTGAGTGCTGTGGCATTTGAAAAGATCCATTTTTTTGGGTGTCCTCTTCCTTTAGTTGAATTAATGGGTTATTTGTGTTAGTTTAACTATTGCAGCATTACCTTGACTAAAAAGGGTGTTGGAGAGTATTGGAGGCAGACTTCGTTTTAGGGTTCCCTCTGCAAACCTGAGAAATTTTGTGTCATTTTCCAAAATAAATCTTTCGGAATGCTGTGGAATTTGAAAAGATCCTTTCTTTTGGGTGTCCTCTTCCTTTAGTTTAATTAATGGATTATTTATTTTAGTTTAACTATTGCATCATTACCTTGACTAAGAGAGTTAGAAAGTATTGGAGGCAGACTATGTTCTAAGGTTCTCTATGCAAACCTGAGAAAATTTGTGTCATTTTGGTTTTTGATTTATTATCAAACTTGCAAGCTGAAAAATATCAGCTTTCTGACTGCCTACATCCATTTGTACCGATTTATCTCAGTTTCAAAAAAGTCTTTAATCTCGGCACTTCTGTCATTTTTATCATTAGTAACCCGATTAAGGAGAGGTGATGCGAGGTCACTTTCTTCTGGGCCGAAGCTGGATATGTTCAATATGTTGAGAACGGTTGTTCAATGTGTCCCACCTAATTGAAGGCTTGGCTTCATGTTAAGGACGTGTAGGAATACCATCCATTATGAGATCGTGCTTGAGCACGACAGCGAGTATCTGGGTCCCCTGTTACTATTTTTGAAGGGAACAGGGCTGATTTATTGTATACAAGTCTGGTAGTTTTGTGTTTCTAGCATTTCTTGACAGTGAATGTATTTATCAGCATGAATGTGAGAAGTCCGATGGAGGAATATTGAGACCATGTCCCTAAATTATGTTGTAGATATAATATTCGGGGTGAAATATACTGTACCCTTTAAGAGCTATTGTATCCCCTGTTCTCTGCCTAAAGCACATCGGTGAGTCCTATATCACCACGAAACTTGATTAATAGGCCTAGTTTCAATGGTTGAAGCTCTTCTATGGTCACATTGCTCATCCCATAACACTTCCTCCTGCGAGCAAGTGTAGCACCGCAGTTTGTTAATAGATGTGTTGGTGGTCTCCCCTGCCTCTGCAGAATCTGCATGTGCCGTCTATTCCAATCTTCTTTAAGTGTCCATTTAGCTTGCAGTGTTAAGAATCCTATTAGGATTCTTAGTTTCTTCCTGCTTCCTTTGACACATTCTGTAATTTCTTTTCTTCCGAAATTTGTTAAGAGATTCTTGGATGTGTCCAATGAGTGAATTCCATTGTTCCTTCATTTTCTTTTTGTCCTTCTGTCTGAGATAGTCATTAATAGTATGGGTTCCTATGCCACAGAATGGTTCAGGTTCCGTCAGCGGTGTAGCAGCTCCTTGCCTTCAAAGTTGTCCATTTTCTTGTTGCCTTCTACTCCCATGTGTCCTGGAACCCAGCAGAGGCTGACTTTGTTCTGCGTACCTAATATGTTTAATTTGGTTTTGCAGTTCAGCACCATCCTTGAACTAATGATATTTGAGCTTAGTGCTTTGACGGTTGCTTAACTATCTGACATGATAGCTACGTTCTTGTTTTTGTAACCTTTATTCAAGTTGTGTTAAGTACATCACAACTATTATAAGTAAAAC